TAATCTCACAAATTTATGCTAAAATGATTGTTTCTTCAATAACAAGGTAGTTTACTTAGTAAAATGAAGTGAAATTAAGAATTGGGATTCTCTGCATGTTTTATTATGGGAGAAAATATCAAATGCACATGCGTAAAGCACACAAAAAAAGTTCCTAAAAAAGAAGTTTGTTGGTGGCTTTGAGGTCTGGATTTTAGATCATTCCGCATATTGAACATCTATCTGGATCTCAGTACTGTACTTTAGAACAAGGTGATTTAAAAATTATATTAAGCAATTTTTTGCCAAATATTAAAAACCAATGCACAAAGTGCAATCATCACATAAATTAAAATCGAACTTCTGTGCAATTAAAATATATAATTTGTTTCTTTATAAAATTAAAAATAGCAATAATACAAAAAATAATTACACATAAATCAAATAAATCATTTTTTAAAAAAGTTTTGTTTGTCATTTTAAATTATTTATGTGCAATTATTTGTATTATGATTATGTTATATACTGTATTGTATAGAAAAATGTATGAGGCTCGATGAAGAAAACTATTCGTTTAAAAGGAATCAATCCAAGAAACAGTTTGGAAATATCTGTTTTAGATCAATATATCTCATAATTTAAATACATTTGAAATATTTACAAAATCAGAATAGTCAGAGGAAATGGTGTAGCATATTTAAAAATGTGTATGGGTTAAGATCATAGTTTGCCTACATATACTACTACCCATCAAGAGGAGCAGAGGCCAGAAGAATGTGGTTTTATTTGCAGAAAGTATACATTGAACAACAAAAGGATAATAAAAATGCACTTGAAAATGTTGATGTTTATACAACTTTTAATAAACACTAAACTATTAAAAACATTCTACAGTTATGTATTATTAGAAGATTCATAGCAAATCATGTCAATTGACTTACTTCACTTTCATATAAAAGTCCAAAGTATGTAAAAACCATCGTTTATTCTAATGAAATGTATAAATGCAAATTGCAACCTATTAGTGTAAAATTCTATAAACAATACTACAGACGTCTAACTAAAGACAGCAATATGCACATGCTTTTTCAACTTAAACAGGTTGTGAAACGTTTTACACATATAAAGCGACTTGAATGTTTTGTAAAGTTCATTTATTATAACTATGAACATGTAAACACATAGAAAGTTTTTAACTCTTATCAGTACCTTTTTAAATTTAATGAAGACCTTTTTAATTAATAGCTGGATGTATATTGATCAACTGCTCAATGCATACTTAAAAGATACTGATTTAAACTTGTCAGATGATTCTCAAAAACTCAAACCTTGAGGTAAAAAAAAAAATCTAAGAACCTAAAAATATTTAAAATACATTATAAACCTGACCAAAAACAAAAAATTAAATCCAGTTTAAAAAAAAATTAAAAATAAACATCCTTGTATAATAAAAATGAAAAAGAGCACATTTTTTACCTATATAGAAGACATGAGTAAATCAAACAAACAAGCGAACCTTAAAACTTTAAACACACAGTGTGTTTCAAAAGATTACCAGAAATGTCAATCTATGAATCACAAAAATAAAGAGACTTTTTTTTAAGAAGTTAGGAGAGTTTTCTTAGCATCAAAATAATTTTCAAACGATAAAAACATACAAAGAAATATTTTACACATAAAGAATTAAGTTAAAATAATATCTAATATTTGAAAGTGGAGTTAGTAATTCTTAAATGCAAATTATGCAATAATACTCATATATTTAAAAGAAAAAAAAAACTATTATTTGTGCCTAAAAAATCGTAATACTTTATCGAATCAGTTTTCATACATTTGCTAAGAAGAGTGGCACATTTTCTTTATGAAAACTGAATTGTAAATTCGTTTACAGCAATCTCTTACTAAAGATTTTTTGCTAGTAGAACTTTTTCGAATATATGATTATCAATACCAGAACTGTTCACTGTCATTACCAAAAGCCACGAATATTTTAAACAGTTCCCTTTAATTTAAAATTAGATTTCTGTCTACACCACAATATCACAAAACTCACATTTCCATTATTACTGCCAAATACTTAGCTCAATAAAACAATGAAAGTTGGCCACACTTACTATGGTATCTAGATCTAGGTCACACATACCATAATATCTAGACCTAGTTCTATGTTACTTCCTCCCCCCCATCTTTTGTTCCCTTATATGAAATCGCACCTACTGGATCAGTGTTTGGTTTTAAAGAAGGATCAGGTGATTTTAAAGATTTCAAAGGGTGGGTTCCGATACTTCTTTCATGACTAGAAGACCTTTTGGGTCAAGCGCATGTAACTCTATGGAAAATATTTGAGCTAATTTAAAGATGGATTCTGCCTAATTTATTTTACACATAATAAATTCATTCTCACTTTTTTTCTTTTGCATAAAGGTAAGGTAAATCTTGCAGCCAAAAATAAATAAATAAATAAATAAAAATAAAATAAAAATATTGAAAGTATCAATATCTTGAATTTTATAAATCTTTAAGCCTGAAGCCAAAAAATAAAAATAAAAATTATGTTACCGACTAAGTGATTTACAATGCATGTAAATAAATTTATAAAAGTCTGTAAGCTGAAAATATAACATTTAAAGAGCTACATTTACTGTATTCTACTGTAAATGTAGCTATGTATCAATTACAGAAAACATATACTTGTAACTGGACTTCTTTGCTCTACAGAGAGTGAAAAAAAGACTGATAATTGCATTTTGTATCAGAATGAATTACTAGAGGGGGGAAAATGACTTGATGCTGCTACAAACAATTTTATAAAAGTAATATGAAAATTTTAAATTACTTATACCTCTTTGATATAAATTTCTTAAAAATGTTTTAATTTTTTCATTAATGATTAAAAAGTCTCAGATTATAATGAAAATTTAATCACACTTCATGAATGCAAGATAGATCATATTAAATGCAAAGATTAAGGTAAATTAGATTTGATTCAGTAAAAAGCCTTCTTATCAAAATAATACAAGAGAAAAAGCATGGTATTATAAGAATGAGTATAAATTATTGATCCTTCGCACTTGCAACATTCTCATGGCTGATAACCAGCAATCCAATGACACATGTTTGCAAAAAAGTTCGATTACAAGTTATGAAATTACATAATGAAATTTATAAAAAACAAAGTACAGGTCTTGATCTACATCATTTCATAACACATTACAAAGTGCAATTAGCATTCAAGGTCTATTTTTTCTTTAGGTTTAAGCTTTAGACTTGCTTATACATCTTTTTCAATTATAAATACAAAGAATATAAATAATCTACAAGCACAAACATTCCTTATCCATTTCTTTAGAATAGAGTTTAGATTACATAATGAACTTCACATATTCCTTTTTGACATAACACTAGCTGAAATTTATACAAATCTCAGTATATAAACCATATTTTGATTTGAATTTTTATACTATTTTAATAGAAGATTTTAAGGAAACATGCACTTTTCAAAAGGCTGTGCTGAAAAAATTTATCTTGTGTAATCACTAATGCATTTTAAATCTCCTGAGATATACCAAGATGGGTATGCTAGATTTACTATGCCCCTCAGAGGAAAAAAATCAAATGCAAAGGATTCTTTAATTCTTTGCATAGGCTACAGATTCTTTCTTTACTTATTTTTTAGTTCTTGCAGAGATTGAATAAATAATTAAAACTCTTGTCACTTAAAACAATCTAATATAATCTGCACTAAAAAAAAGAAAACAGAAAAATAATTAAAAGAAAAGTGGTTATCTTAAATTAAGATAAATTGATGATATTTTAGAATTCCTTTTAGTCAGTTTTGATATATTATAGATGTGTTGGTCTTATAAATTTACCTCATTATCAATCATAACTCAAAACCAAGAAACATCTCAGAGTTGAAACAGATGGTGGTTTTAAACCTTTCTAGCAAATATTAAATAGAGATGGTAAATAATATTTCAACAACATTCTAGAAATCTGGGCTTCGAATGTGACTTAAATCTCTTCTTTAACAACAGGTGCTTGAGATTTTTAAGATGGTAATCAGCTTATGTTCATTTCATGTTGATGAGATCTCAACAATTTTATCATAATCTAACTAGCAAGCATTTTTTAGGGATAAAAAATTCATAACCAAATACACAAAGATTGAGGGATCCTCGTACTTCCTACATGCTCTACTTCAGTCAGATACTTGGCCCTACAGCACAATCAGATATTTTTATATCCTACAACAGATATAAAATATAATCAATCAGATATTTTTATATCTGTTGTGCAATAATTATTGTACACTCTATAAAGTGACCATAAACTAGGCAATTTTAAAAATAATTTAACATTTTATTTTACTCTTCTAAGAATTCTACTTTAGTTCAATTTACCTATAAAAATTTAGATCAAACCAATTAGCAGTATCAGATACCTGGATCAAGAGAGTGCAGCTAATTCTCTGGTCTTCTAGAAGCCTTACTTTTCACTCAGTGGCCACTTTATTATAATAAGGCAGCATTGAATATGATTTTGAAGATATTAGATTCTCATCATCTGCAACAGAGGGCTACAGCAGCTAATACCATAGAAACTCTAAAAACAGTATAATAACATGGCACTGCTTTGGATATTATTTTGAGATCTGCATGTGACAATTGCACCTTATACCTGTATTGGTTTATTTTGATTATGCAAAGCATTTGATAGCTACCTACCTAAGGGAAGGGATGCCTTCATGTAAGACTTTCTAAGGGAAACTAGCTCATATACCGACTTACACAGGGAAAAGCACAAAAATACCTATGAAAACCTCATGAATCAACATTGCATTAATATTATTTTAGAACTCAATGTTCTTATATTATACATAATATTTCAGCACCGAGAACGTATATTGATTTTCTCTTTTGCATATGAAAATCTTTTCAATGCATGCCAGATTTGTAAATTGACTTAAAAGATGAATTATAGTTATTAGTATTGAAATAGCTTTGAAGAACCAAACTTACCAACAGCTTCTTTGTTTTCTTTTTGTTTTCAGACACAGACTTAGAAGGTAGAGGTGACTCCATTAATTTATCAAAATCCATATTCATATCTCTGAGCACATGGTACAGTTTTTCATAAATCATTAGCAAGCAATATGCATCTAAAGCTGGAAATATAAAATGCTTTTTTTTACTAAAAACCATTTAATAAAATTATTACAAAAATCATTCAGCTAAAAGTATTACAAGAATCTATCTATATATATATATATAAAGAAGAGTCTGTCACTGTGTGTGTCTTTTGCTTGTGCTGCGTGTAAGCTAATAGACACATGACTACAAAATTTGGTACACAGGTGCATCTGGACAAGCGCCGGTGCATATCGAAGCAATTTTTTTCAAAATATGAATGAGATTTTTTTAATTTTATGCTTTTTGATGAAATCGTACCAAATCAATAAATGGCAGGCAGCCATTGTTGCTAATATCAACACTGTTGCCACTCAGAAAAATAAGGGGGATAATTCTGTGCAGTTTTTAAATTTAATGTTTCTCTTGGATGCTGGACGTTTGTTGAGAGAAGCCAATGGGAAGTTGGTTAATTTATTTATTAAGATAATTAATATTTGTATAAAGGAATATTGTTTACTTCATTGTAATTTTTTTTTATATGTAATACATTTTTATTGGAAATTTTTTTGATAAAAGTTGTTCTGCAAAGTAAAATTCTAAGCAGTTTTTAAATTTAATGTTTGGCGTTTCCCTTAGGCATTTTTCCAGTACATTTAAAAGCCAGATGAAGGCTGGCCGCGCAGCAACTACTAGATACAGTCAAAAGTCATTAATCCGGACTCGTCGGGACTTCGGCGATTCCGGATTATCGATTTTTTCCGGATTATAGATCATCAGTTTAAATCTCGTAAGATGGCATGCAGAAATTCTAAAATTAAAAATATGAAACCTTAATTTATGAAAAAACAATTATGATCTAAAGGGTATCAAAATTACAAAAAAAACAAAAAAAAAAAAAAAAAAAAAAAAAAAAAAAAAAAAAAAGCTTAATATTTATTTGTTTACTTTATTAAACATTTCTTTCAGTGTAAGTTGTTTAAGTTGCTTCGTTTTAAAAAGTCAAAAGTCTTTAATTCTATAAACAGACATAATTTCTTGTTCAGTTACAAAGTTTCCCTGTTCAAGCCCCGTTAATTGCTGTGCCAAGAATACTGACTAACTTGTCAAATGAAATTTTTTCGTTTTCACTAAGCTCTCTGTCACATTCTTCATGTCTTTATCCATTTTTTGCAGCAATTACACTTTTGTTTGTTGGACATCTAACCATACTTTCGTTTTGTAGATCCTTTGGAAGTTCCAGCATCGGAAATTCTATTTGACATAATCGAAAGTTCAAGTTTACTTTTATAAAATTGCTCTTACAGTCTGCAAAAAATAATAAGCGGGATCCAATTCGAAGATTATGCAATGATTAACATTAACTGAAATAGATAATTAGATAATTTTAGCTTACACCGTCCGTTATACATTAAATGCGCAGGCGAAAACGTATTCTGCACTTGTGCACACGCATATGCGCAGTAGTCAAGGTCTTACGCGCACGCGTAAAACGCCTGTGCGCATGTGCCAACGCGGCGCATGCGCAGAAAGTTTTTAGTTTTGAGGTCCGGATTATAGATCATTCCGTATTATGGGTGTCCGAGTTAACGACTTTTGACTGTAATAATTTAATCCATTGATATTTTTGGTATAATGTTCATACTTTATTGTTATGTTTATTAAATAAAAGTTAAGTAATACCATCTGAGATTAAAATTGATCTTTAATATATATAAAAATCATAAATGACCAAGATTTTGACACAGATAGCATGCAGGCCAAAATGTCCAATTTTTAGTTTTCTTGCAATGACTGACTGATGATAAGCTAGGAAGTTTGTTTTTGTCCCCTGCTTTTTTTTTTTTTTTTTTTTTTTTTCTTCAAATAGTTATAATTCACAATATGATGGTATGTTCACAATATGATTTTCCAAGCATTTTGACTTTTGAGTTTCCCTGGGACTAAATGATACAAAATATACTTATGTATCAGAAACAAATGAGTTTTAATATCTTTCACAGCACATTTAAAGTAATCTTGAACTTATAGAAGTTATCTTGGGAAAACCAAATTTGAACCATTTTTTATAGAAAGCATTCCATCAGTTATATTAATTGATTAACATGATTAAAGGTTAGTTTTGTTTATAAAGAAAGATAAATTGCTAAAATAATACAATTATTACATAAACATAACTAACTGTCAAATGAATTCTTTCTTAGCATGATAAGAATACTAAACAATTTTCAAATGAAACTAATATGAATATGGTGTAAAATATTTTTCACTGATTTTAATTTAGTTTTGTTTATTTGATTATGATGAAGTACCCAAGGAATATCTGCCTAAGGGAAGGGATGTCTTCATGGAAGACTTTCTACTGTTTGGCTTCTGATGAGCCTTTACATTTATTTATTCCAAAATGTTAAAGAAATATTATCATTATTCAGAATTCTTAGATTAAACATAAATCACATATTCATTGCTCAATACTGCAACTGCAATACCACGAAAGAAAAAAAACTGAACAGTTCTGCAAATTTGGGCAAGGGGGATTTGCAGGTATCGCTAAGCCAGGCAAATGATCAAATTTTTAGGTAGCTTGCTTCAGTCAGCACATGTGGGAAGAACTTATATAATATAAAAGTCAGATCAAATGTCATTTTTTCCCTCACATGAAACTTAAAAAAAATAGATTTAAGTTTTATGATTTGCTAATATGATGCTAATGTGCTACTTGTTGCCTACTGCTAACAAAGAATGACAGAATCCTTAACACTTAAAGATGGTAAGCAACTCTTCCAGTAAATTGCTATATATTTAGGGCAAAATGTTGTTAGTATTTAGTGTTGTGTATACTAGTAGTTGTGAGAACAGAAGAATGGCCAGATGGAAATGGAGATCTATTCCATCAAGTGATGTATCATGCTTCTCTCTCAGAAGTCATAGATTTCTCCAATGTCTTCATGGCCTTTATACAAAAGGTGACTTTCTCTTTTGCATAAAATTTTCAGCTTTGGAAACTAACAAGAAGTTTGAAACAAAGAATATGAATACTAAAAGAAGGGAGGCTTCTGCAGACATAAAGTAAACTAGCCTCACTTGCTTCCCGCAACTTCTGAATCGAAATCAGTATGTGGTGAAGCAAATGCACAAGGTGCTGGTGAAATTCATTTGCGGAGAATCAATCCTACTTTAAATGTTACTGAAGTACAAATATAAATCTGCTATTTCAGAATCAATTTTTGCTGCTATTAATAGCTTGAAATTTTTATTTTGTAGTATGCTTTGCATATAATTTCTTTAAAGAATTTTTTTTCATTTCACAATTAATCGTTTTCATACTTAAATTAAATGGTTACTATTATTTTAATATTTCTAATGGAATAATATAATAAATTATCCTTTGATTTTAAATTTCTGAACTTCTATATTTTCACTAACTCATAAATGTAACATTTATTATTATTAAAAAAATAAAACACAGCCAAATAGAAGTGAAGCATGCAATACGTCCTCCCAAGTACTGATTGTGTCATTGACTGCTTGTTGTTAGGTTTTCACCCCTAGATTGGCAAAGCATTGAGAAGGAAAATCAAAGTAAAGCATAGGTTTCAATTTATTATTATTTATTTAAAGTAGTGATTTCTTCAAAGATTATGACTCAAATGTACATTTCTCCAATGCAAAATTTCTTTGTTGTTGCAAGTTGTTATTAATAAGAAATGTTATTTAAAATAATTTAGCACTTCTAAAGATGTTTCTGAGCTCTGTCATTGGCAAAAGAATTCGGTAAAATTTTTATTGAAGTCAGCATTGCTAAATGTTTCAGAATAAGATTTAGGTTTTAAAACAGGAGTAAATTTGAAATTGCTTCTATTAAGAAGCTATTTTGTCCTTGTCAGCAGGTGGGTTTCTAGGACTGTGCACTTTGTGGCTAAAAGAACTGTGATGAGAACTGTATGCAACATTCTTTCATGTATACAAGCAGACATTCTGGTCTTTCCAAAATATTATATTAACTCTGGCCGTTTTATCATGGATGCATCATCAATACAAAATAGACGATTTATTTCATGTCTTAAAAATCTTAAGATTTCAAAAGCATTCTCAGGGCATAAATGGCATATCATCAATGCACGACAGTATACCGATTTGTATACCAGTACTCACCAAGCAAATGACATCAGCTTATTCATGACTAGGACTAAACTGTGCTGGTTAATACAGACAGACTAAAAGGCAATCAGAAATCAACATCTTACTCATATGCTTTGCTAGCAAAGCATAATCAGTCACTGCAAGCTAAGCTGGCCTAGATTGGGACACCAAGTAGTGTGGTCAAATGAATCTCATTTCTTCTATAACCTGCAACAGATGGAGGTGATAGTTATCACATTGAACACTTGAGAGGAAATACACTGGGCCTATCCCATCCACCTTGCTCTATTCAAAACAGTTGAAGCTCTGTGATAGAAAAAGGAATCTTTTGAGGGATATATTAAATTACTTAATTATCTGAAGAGACCTTCAAATGCTAATTCTGCACACACATAAAAAGGTGATCCCCTAATACTAATTACCTACATATTTTTATCTCATGTGAATTCTGAAAGTAACAGTTTATTTCAGCATGGTAATATGATATTCCAAATTAAAATATAAAATTTCACTTCGTTATTACATTATACATACCTGCATATGTCATCTGACTTTCTCTCAAAGGACGGCGCTCCCAGTTTGAAAACTGCTCATCTTTATTTAAAGGCTTGCCTAATATAGTATAACAAAGCTGGCTTAAGCCTTTAGAATCTGGAGGATCTATTAACTGTTCAGGGACTGACTTTTTTATTTCTGCAGCAACTGCAGGGAAATGTATTTTGAGCTAGTAAAAATATAACAATTAATTAGCCTAACAACATTTTATACTAAAAAAAAAAAGCAAAAATTTAATACCTAAATTTTTTGTTTAATTAGTAGTCAATGAAATTCTTATAAAAATGAATAGTTAGTGTGAGATAATCAGATAATTACAATCAAAATTTAAACATGCAAATAAATTGGTACTTGCATATTAGCACAACCACATTAGAAGTTGACGAATTTTCAGAATGCACCACTCTGGCATAAAAATTTTTCAGGCAACCAGGTGCATAACAATTCTTTAGTTTTAATAAGCATTCATTTTGTTGTTTCAAATAGTTTTTTATTAGTAAATCGTAATATTTTTGGTCTTAAATTCTATTTTAAAATAGCACTTGGGAGATTTGCTGCAATTTCTGTAGGAACATAAACCGTGAAAGGGATAACTTGCAAAATTGCTAAAGGAAGCAACTGTGCTGGATCTATTTTTCAATCCATCGCTAAAAAATTTACACCAAAACACACACACATACAAAAAAAAAAAAAACTGCTTGTAAATAAGTTTGCTTTCTGATTTTGAAGACAAATACCTATTAATATAAAATAAGTATAACAAATAATTTAGTACATTCTGAATATCTGTGCCCCACTGGAAAGTCATAGCTTATTGAAGACTTTGTTTGGTGAAAAATGTTTCTTTGGTTGATTTTAAGGCTTATAGGTATTGTTTTGTTCAGCATTAATAATATAAAGAAGCATTTTATGAGAAAAAAAGTAAAATTTTTATTGCAAATATTTACACTTTTACAGGCGATGAAGCTAAATAGCAGTTACAGATAAATTATAAATCCATGTGCACGATAAATGTCTGTGTAGGTTGACTATTCTTGCATGTAAATTCAAAAACACACTAAAAACATGGCAGTATAAAATTTTTCCCTTCTGTACAAAACTGCCAATCTTTATCACGGTAGTTGTGTTAATTTATAAGTACAACTATATCTCAGTACTAAAAAGTATAGGCTTACTCTTCTGCTTACTGTACTTTTAATATAAAAAGCAGAACAAACTAGTATATTAACACTAAATTTCTTTCTCAGCATGCTTTTTAGCTACTTCTCCATTAGTAGAAACTATTTTGGAAGGGTATTGAAATGTTCTGATAGATGGTTTATGTGATAAACACTACTTATATAGTTCTTGCAAAGCAATGCTAAAATTAATATACAGTACAAAAACCGTAATCCAGACTCGTTGGGACTTCGGCGATTCCGGATTAGGGTTTTTTCCGGATTACAGATCATCAATTTAAATCTGATAAGATGGCATGCAGAAATTATACAATTAAAAATATGAAACCATAATTTATAAAATAAAGAGCAATTATGATCTAAAGAGTATCAAATTTTACAAAAAAAAAGCTTAATATTTATTTGTTTACTTTATTAAACATTTCTTTCAACTCTCGCATTTGTAAAGCATATGCTGCATGCATGCGTTACATTATGTGCAGCATAGAAAAAAAAAAGTTTGTGGCTTTGAGGTTCGGATTATAGATCATTCCGAATTATGGACATCCGGATTACGAACTTTGTACTGTACTTTGCTTGCTGTTTACATTTGTAAAAAGTAACTATCAAAGAATATTCAAAATGTTTTGTACTTTTTCAAAATATAATTTTTATATTTCAACTTCGTGTTGCATTTAATAAACTTAATACTATCAACATTTACTTTCAAACTTGAACTGACAGTCTTTTAAATTAGACAGTGCTATTAAGTAGAAAAAGAATTTTTAATATAACACAGCAACTCATAAAAATAAAATGCATGTAACAATTCATCATAACATGTACACTGTCTTACAATAATAATCATGTTATATATGCAATTCATATTGCAATTCAGTATTATATGCAATTCAGTATGTAAATAATCTCTAAATATGTTTGCAGTTATTTTCTACATACTGTAACTTCTACTGTGTAAATAATCTACAATTTCTGAACATACTATACTTAAATGATGTTGATATTAGTTATAAAACTTGATAAACCAATATGAAATTAATGACTTGAAAAAGCTAAATATATGACTCACAAAATTTTATTTAAAATGTTTATCAAAGGTTATGAGTCATTCACAATAATAGGGAAAGAAAGATTAATGAGTCCATCACAGAGAATGGCACTTTTTAATGTTTTGAAATAAATAAAAACACAAAAACCAAAACAGCAAAAATTGTCAGCTACATTTAATCACCCTTTTTTCATCTTTATTTTCAAAAGAATATATATATTTGAAATGTTTTATACTTCTTAAAAATATAATCTTTATATTTCAACTTTTGATTTGCATTTAATACAGCTTTACTATCAGCATTGATTTTCAAATTTGCACCAACTACATTTAAGTGTATGACATTATATTACAGTCAAAAGTCGTTAATTCGGACACCCATAATCCGGACCTCAAAGCTAAAAACTTTCTGCGCATGCGCCGTGTTGTCACATGCGCATAGGCGTTTACGCGTGCGCGTAAGACTTCTTACGACTGCGCATTGGCATGTGCGCAAGCACAGAATACGTTTCCGCATGCGCGTTTTATGTATAACGGACGGTATAAGCTAAATGATGATTGCGTTGTTCCTTAATTTTCGAATTGGATCCGGCTTATTATGTTTTGCAGACCGTAAGAGCAATACTATAAAAGCAAACTTGAACTTTTCGATTATGTCAAATAGAATTTCCGATTCTAGAGCTCCCAAAGGATTGTATAAAACGAAAGTATGTTTCGATGTCCATCAGACAAAAAGTGGAATTGCTGCAAAAAATGGATAAAGACATGAAGAATGTGACAGAGAGGTTAGTGAAAACGAAAAAATTTCGATAGACAAGTTAGTCGGTATTCTCGGCACAGCAATTAACGGGACTTGAACAGCGGAACTTTGTAACTGAACAAAAAATTATGTCTGTTTATAGAATTAAAGAGAAAGTATTATCACATAAAATGAAGTAACTTAAACAACTTACACTGAAAGAAATGTTTAATAAAGTAAACAAATAAATATTAAGCTTTTTTTTTTTTTTTTTTTTTTGTTGTAAATTTTGATACCCTTTAGATCATAATTGTTCTTTATTTCATAAATTACGGTTTCATATTTTTAATTTTAGAATTTCTGCATGCCATCTTACGCAATTTAAACTGATGATCTATAATCCGGAAAAATCGATAATCCGGAATTGCCGAAGTCTCGACGAGTCCGGATTAACGACTTTTGACTGTAATATGTATATTTTATTTTAAGCATATTAATTAAATCATAACAACATCAAAAACTCTGCTTACTTGATCGCGGGTCTAAGAAAGAGAAGAAGAAAGAAAAGAAATGAGCATACAGTACATAAACAGAGATTACCTATTAAAATATCCAATTAATAAATTAAAAGAAAATATAAACCACAGGTTTATGACAGAAGAAGACAAACACAGGTCAAAGAAGACATAAATTACACGTCAAAGTAGACATAAACCACAGGTCAACCTAAAGATCTCATCTCTTTTCCTCTTTCTTTCTTACTTATCTCTTTTCCTTAACACTTAATGAGAAATGGATCAAACTAGGTTCACATACAACCTTCCTACCTCAAGTACCTAATATACCGGAATTCTAAAGAGACTAGCAGAATTTCACTTAATCCTTTTACCATATGAAAGTGACATATAAACATCAATTTGAGTGAAATGCTGTGAAGGCCAAGGAAAAAAAAAAAAAAAAAAAAGAAAGAAAGAAAGAAAGAAAGAAAGAAAAGAAATGTAAAGTCAAAGAGCTTCCCAAGAGTGTTAAAAGCAAGGACCTGCACAGGGCCATTTACAGGAATTTCTTTTTATACTAATGCATTGAGAGTAGAGCAGCACTAGAAAGATTTAATTTAGACAGATAGAGTTAGCTCAAATAAAAACCTTGACTCATACCATGCTCAGGACAGTGCTCTTACAGGCAAATTTTCAGAAGCCAAAGAACAGCTAGGAGTCTTACTGCCTTGGATATTCTACAGCTTGCCAGTAAGAAAAATTGCAATGTAACAGTGATCAATCCATCAAACCACGGTAATCACATTTTCAGAAGTTGTTTACCCATTACAATAGCCCATCAACACATATAACATTAAGTTTTTTTTTTTTTTTTTTAGCTGTGTTTTATTGCATTTCTAGAGCATCATTTTAATGAAAACTCTTCCAGAATTTCTCATCTTCTGATAGCTTCTTGCAAACTTCATCATAAAATTCTACTAGATCTCAGCTTGCAAGTTTAATTTTTAAGATCATAAGACCATGATTGTGCACTGTTCTCCCTTCAACCTTGCCATTTTATGTAAGCACTTTCACTCATTTCCAGTTTTTTCAGGCTTTTCAGAGGATAAAGTGCCTCAGTTTTTTCTTTTCCTTCACCACCATCTCTACTAAGGAGGTCCACTTCATAAATTTTCCTTCTTTCAGGACCTAAATGCTTCCAGAACAATGGAAAAAATGTATTAACTCTAGAGGAGAATACATTGAAAGGTGACATGTTCAACTTTTTCTTTCGCAGTAAAGGTTTTTTCAGAGACACAAATTTTTCACCTTCCCTGCATTTGTTAAATAAATTGTTTGACAACTGCCCTATAGCTAAAACTAATACTTATTTTATTTTCAAACTAATTCATATTTTTTTAATATCTTTAATTTTTTAGCAAGTATACTAAAAAATAACTGTGCTAAAATTTATCACAACCACAGTTTTTTTCATGAGTAATAAAAAAATTAGTTTGATGCATATACATCATTGCATTATAAAAATGACACTATTACATTTTTGAAATGCTTCAGTTTCAACAAAAATGAATACTCAAAAATTCAGAAATCCAGTGCAAATTGAAAAAAAATTATGGATATACAAAAAGGCAAAAATTAGCATTACAAACCTCTTTGAAAAAATTTCCAATGTCTACTAAACGTGGATATTTGTGCAACTGAGACTTTTCACCAGAAAATAGCTTTATCAGCATTTGTAAATCAGTTTTAATACCATAACCTGCAAGTGAGATGAAACTCTTTTTCAAAATAAATTATTAAAATATTTCTTCTGAAATAGAAGAATTATCATGTACATAAATCATACTCATACATGTAACATTAGAAGTGTTGCATGAAATTTTGACTACAATAATAGATGCCCTTTGGACTTGCTTAAAAATATAATTGCTTCAGAGTAGATGAAATGCATATAATTAGTACAGCTCAATTAAGTTTTGCATCTATTACAGAAAGTTATACAATGCTTGTATTACAATATGCATTACATATGATCAATTAATCCAGCAACTGGCTTAATATCTATATTTTAAATTGCATTCCAGATCGAGTTTAATTCATATTTTAGAATGCTCAAGTTCATGGAAAGCTGCCTGTATTTAAAAAAATGTACAAAATAATAATAAAATTAAAGTATATATAAATAGATATTAAAAAAGTCGATACAGATATTTCCTGCTTTAAAACAATCCACTTTACGGATCTTCATTTTTACAAAAGACTATAACAGTACTTTTTGAAAAACATCGTTCAGTGTTTCGTTTTATGCAATAACTACAGTAAAGTATATTTTTTATTGCGAAATATATATATTGTTAAGATGGTTTCACAGGATGTTCTGTTTGCCCAAGCAACATCATATGGGAAAAAAAAAAAAGAATTCATTCAAGCTTGCTCTCTTACATATGGTTACACTAAATGACAAGCTCTGACTTTCAGCATTAGGCCAAACAAGCATATTAATTGAGGACACAATCATTTAACATGTGCAAATAATGTATTTACAAATGGTCTTCATCCTCTGCTTCCTGTGTCAAAGGCCTAGTACTTTCTGCTGACCAGTAGCGGCTCGTAATAAGCACTGTGGAACTGCAGCACCCCCTATTTCAACTTATTATTATTTTTAATACATAATATATTGTGCCCTTTAGTCTTTAATTCTTTCTTTATACTTTTACAATACATAATCCTGAAGCTTAATGTCAGTAGCCACCCCCCAGTTTGTGAAAAAAGCACAAATGTTTTTGTTTGGAACTGCGCGCTTCACGGTTCCAGAGACATGGTATTTGACTGTTCTGCGCATGCGCACACAGAAAGCAGCATGCCGAGCCAGGAAGAGAGAAAGCACTGTCGCTCTTGCAGTGTCGAAGTTCTGTCATGTTGTTGGGAACGTGATTTCTTTTTACTCTGCACGTGTCGTATTCCTCCACAAGGTAGAACTTCATCATATGGACCATAAAGACAGTTCATGAAAATTTGCAACCTTTAAAAAATTGCTTTACTGAAATTCAATCAACGTCAAATGCAGATCAAACTATTGCAAAAGCAACAAAAATTTTAAAATATCTAAATGATGATAATTTCAAGTTTTGGTTAGAGTTTTTTTATCAGATTATGCTTCATGTTGAAAAAATATACAACTAAATGCAATCCAGAGAAATTAGTGTGTTTAAAGTTAATGAATATATGACAAATTTCAAAACTGCTATTTTAGAATTAAAAAAAACTCAAAGTACTGTGAGAATTTTTTAAAGACACTGATGGCAGAAGCTAAGAAAATATATGATTTTATACTATGTATTGATATAATGCACAGATATTCTTCCACTAAACACTTAACAGCTGCTAAATTGTTTAACAAGAAATACTTCGCTAGTTTTAGGAATGAACATTCTGTAGAAGAAATAATACTGACCACTAAAGCATATCCAATGACAAACAAATCAAAGCTTGAAACTGAACTAAAAGTATTCTATTGTAGGTGTTATATCCATGAATAGTGTAAATTAAATGAGCTACTGAAATTTATCTTCGAAAATAATCTAGATGATGTTCTTAGTGAAATTACGAAACTGATAAAAATTCTCTTGAGAGTTCCCATGACTACATCAGAGGTAGAACGCTGCTTTTCAGCATTGAAAAGGATGAAAACTTTTCTAAGAAGCACTAGGAATTCGGAAAGATTAAATGCGCTTGCATTGTTTTCAATAAAGAAAAATCTCTCAGTTGTCATTCAGAGATCAAGGAGAAAATTATTGATCTTTTTGCACAAATTAAAACAAGAAGAATGTATTTCATTTTTAAATAATTAGATAAAGATTGAACTGTAAGAGTTTAGATTAAAGTAATTAAGAAATTTTAATTTTTTCCTCGTAAGCTTTCATAATGTTTCAAAATAAATTTTCTTTTTATGCATGTTTGTTTCCTTTTACACAATTTTAAAACAAAGGTTAAATTTTTTGGAACAATACCCCCACTAATTTTAGCTACGAGCCGCCACTGCTGCTGACAGATCTCCAATAACTCAATACAGCATTGTGATTGCATTACCTTTAATTATCTAGTGTGCTTATTCGCTTTTCAATTGTGGAAAATTAAATAACTCAATACAGCATTGTGATTGCATTACCTTTAATTATCTAGTGTGCTTATTCTCTTTTCAATTGTGGAAAATTAAACTGCATTGCAACATGCTTCACATAACACATATGTATCTATACTTAGTATGTGTTTATTATACTATCAATATTAGCCCAAAAGGAACATGTTGGTCTTGAATCGCATATAAATCTTGAAATGGCATTTTGCAAAGAATCACTAAGAATGGCATATCACTTTTCATACTGTTGCCAGCAAATATTATTGTCCTGTATTATATTTAAAGAAATTAAATAATGAAGAATCTGTGTGAAATTATGTATGTTTCTCGCACTGTGGAAAAACAACAGTTCCTACAGCCATCAAATTTTGCATAACATAGTCCTCCAACCAAACAAGAGCACCTGAAAGCCCAAATTTTGAATTTGTTTCATTATCGATTTTGTACATCATAAAACTTTAACGAATTTCTAATTAAAAAAACTCAATGATTTCAAAGCAACCAGTGGTAACATTGTACAGAATAAAACATTTTTATCTCCAGCACATGAGACTGTCTATTGGAAATTTTAAAGATATGCTGTTTTTAAATACTTTGTGTTTCCTGTTTAATCAAATTTCATGCGGTGTAAGCAGCAAGAACATGATATTTAATTAAGTAAACACGCAAAACATAAATAATAAAAAGACAAAAAAAGTTTTGTAAAGCCATCTTAGTAAGAAAACTGAACATTGATATGGTGAACTGACAAGAAACAAGACTGGTGGGAAAAAAAAAAAAAAAAAAAAAAGACTGAAAAAAACCAACACTTAATGCTGCATAATGAATTCTAAACGCATACTGCTTTTAAAATTTCTGTAATTTTGATGTTGAACTGTATATGGTGAAAGTGCGAAGAAAATTATGTTTGATAATAAAGCTAAAAAGACAGCAAAAAATGGATTAGTAGGAGTGAGTGTAAAAGCAGACTTGTAGACTGTGAGATCAGCGAGAGTGAAAGAAACCTTTTGAATGACCATTTAAATCTGAAACCTTCCAGGTTTTTTTTATTATTTGTTTAAAAAATTTTTTCAAAGTATTATTTTTGATTTTTGTGAAATATTTTGTATGATGATTTGATACAGATTTCTATGAAGATCTGGGAATGTTCAGACTTTTTAGTATTATTAATGATATTTGCTTCTTCAATTTACACCATTTCAGCCCAGTAATAAGCAAAAGTAGAGCATTCAAAGTAGGAAAGCTTTTCTGGGAATGCTCTACTTTCAAAAAATGGGAGACACCCAAGATGAAATTAATTAAAAATATACACAGATACTCCTCACCTTACAAACTTTCACACATATAAACAACCTGTTTTCAAAGAGTCTAGTTTGTTCAGAGTCAAAAAGAATTTGAAGCCTCACTTTTCTGAAAACCAAGACCCATATTCTGAGAAGTTTGCTATACATAATGTCATGCATTGCTATAATCTTATTTGCAAGGAAAGGGAGGATAACTGTTCTGTAAAAATTAGACATTTATTTTCTTCAAAAATCGGTGTTGCTGGTTCCTTCCACCTTTCTTACAGTCTTCTCATCAAAATGTCCAGTTTACTTGTTTATAAATATTCAGGAGACAAGTCAGATGTTGACTGATCCCTAAAGATCTACTAACCTCATCCTCACATGTTGCGGACATAACAATCCAAGTATGTACTATATAGTAAAGTAATCCTGTACTGTAACTGAATTGTAATGTATAATAAAGTTATTATTTTTATCTACAATGCCTTTTTTTAAAACTTAAAATGAATTATTTATGCATTTTAATATTTTTGTTTATTTGATAGTATTTATAGTTCTTATCTCACAAACCTCATTATGAGATATGCACAGCAAAACTAGTAACATTTTATGAACAAATTCATGCTGCGAATGATTATTTGGAATGTAACTCACTCGCAAGATGAGGAGCATTTGTACATAAATGAAATCTATAATAAAAAAAAAGGTTAAATTAATGATAAATATATGGTACAAATGGTAAAAAAGAATTTTTTGAACAACACTTCATTTAAAACTAATCAAAATATTTTTCATTCATATATTCATCAAAAATATATCTGTAATGAACAAATTGACCATGATGATTTTAACTATAGAAATATAAAATAATCTAGAATAATTGTTAAATACAGATGCATAAATGCTGATTAGATATCAAACGTTTCATCAACTAAATCTTGGTTCCTAAAATATTTCCTAAATTTGCATTCTGTAATAATATTTAATTGAAAAATGTATCTTCTATAATATTTTCAGTATAGGCCACTCCTGATTTCTATGGTAGAATGGTTCCTTGAAAATGTCGTGAGAATTAAAATCGGGCAGTTGGATTCCGCAATTCAAACTAAAAAGAAATACACATGCATGCACACATAATTTACATAGCTATGCTCTTAAATGTGGAAGCCTACTAAGCTATGAAAATACAGCATGGTGTCAAAATTCACACTTATATACAGTGAGAGGCATCATCACTTCACATGTAAAGCTGCATGTATATATATTTTGATGCTATGCTTTATCCTCACAATTGCACACACACGGCCTATGACTGACCGGAATAAAAAAAAAAAA